TGTGTTTGTAGTAATGGATTCTGTTAAATTGCTACTACACAGTAAAATTATATTTCTTAGCACTCTCTTCTGACTTTAATTTGATGAATAAAGTACGTGAGGGTAATATCGTCATCCGGTTAATATGGTCACTTTCTTATAACTCAAAAACTACAGCCTAATTTGCATAGATGGCGTTGTGATACGATAGCTCTTCATCAGTCATTCAAACAATAAAGGGTCAAAAGGCCGCCGCTTTATCGACGCCATTTTGACAATTGATATTATAGTAAGTACGTGAGGGTAATATGATCACCTTAAGCTTTATCGCCCTATAAAACCACGCCCACGCCTAGCTACGTCGCTGGTAAAGAGACATTTCACATCTTAGTCCTCAGGGGTATCTGTTGTACTATATAATTTTTTTCGAATTCGAAGTACGCTCGTCGGGCGTTCACTTCTTCATTAGCCCATAAAAGATGACTGTTAGTCAGCATATGGCGTGGCGAACCTCAGCCTCTGTATTTCAACGTGGCCCGTTTCGTCTCTTTCAAGTAGTTCGAGCAGTGGTCTATTTTAATAAACTTTAAATAAATTCTAAATGCTAATTAAAAAAAAAAAAACAAATAAACAACGCGGTAGAAGTGAAACCTTCAAATTAAATGAAATCTATACAAATAAATAAAATTGAAGTGTCTGTTTGTAATGTCAAAATTACAGCTTTTTACTAATTGCATATGAAAGTATATATATTGTAGTATACATATGTATAAATTGTGTTTTTGTTATAAGAAATAACAAAAACACAATTTTTAAAATTTTTGTCTGTCTGTCTGTCTGTTTGTTCCGGCTAATCTCGGACCGATTTTGACGGGACATTCATTGGCAGGTAGCTGATTTCATAAGGAGTAACTTAGGCTACTTTTATTTTAGAAAAAATAATTAGGGTTCCGCGCAAAAACATGAAAACCCTAACACGCGAACGAAGTCGCGGGGAACAGCTAGTATAAAATAAAAATATATCACGGCAAATATTTTATTTAATATGATCATATTCCACCACAAGTGCGGCATAAAATAACTATTATAAGATAAAAGTTTAATTTTATAGCTAGCAAATGTTATTTTCCTTATTCTTAGACATAATATTTAGTATTATTAAAATTGCTTTGTAATAACGCCATAACGCCAAATTAAAAATTTTGTACAACCGACTTCAATATAAATTATTAAGAATAACTCAAAAACTATTGGTCGGACCTTGATCAAATTTATATGGGACCACATGAGAAGCACCAGTTTTCAAATAAAAAAGAATCATCAAAATCAGTTCTCCCAGTAAGAAGTTATAAGGTAACATACATAAAAAACACAATCGAATTGAGTGCTGGCTCCTTTTTGAAGTCGGTAGAAAATTGATTGACTCTCAAAGTGGTACAGTCCGTACGGATGAAGAATGGGATTAGAAATGGCGACTCATCGAGCCCGTACTTATTTATTCTGTGCCCGTACCGTCAACATGCACAGTACCAATAGCGTAAACCCACCACCACTAATAACGGTATTTCGTTATAGCGTTATATTATTCGGTTAATTAGAAATTTTCTATTAATGGAAGAATATTTATTTTACAATAATTATATAACCATGTAGGTACATTGATTTACAAATAACCTTTATACCTGCTCTGGCTTCGATTGGGTCGGATCTATTAATGTGGCGTCATTTAGGATTAGGATATTCATTAAGCACTATTTATTTTCTCTTATCAATATTACTATTATAATAAAAGCTCTAAATTTTTCAGATAAAATTTAGTCTAGATCACTCCTGGTTACTCTCTATTTGTTCGTGAAGTTTTATTACAATAGGTTGAGCTATTCCGAAGATTAGCTCGGACAGACTGACAAACGTTACTCATGTCTCAATAGCATGTAAATTATTTTAAACAAAAATATTATTAACAATACTAAATGATTGACTGATTTTTTTTGTAGTTTATGGCATTTTATTGATTTCAGTGACAAGTTGGACTGAAGTAATAGCACGTACCGAAAACGCATATCGCAACGTATTTTTTTTGCAGTCTTTACCACCGGGTGTGAGTATAGATAGCCACAGTGTGCGAGCGAGAGGTGAAAAGAGGGTACGCCATTTTCAATCCCATTCTTTAACCGCACAGGTAATAATATATAAGATATGCGGATGGCATAAACACGAATAATTTAATATAAATAGGTAAGCTATGAAATCGTGGATTGGATGAATATATGAATGAATTGGATATGACAATTTTATTCACTATAGTCAATTTTCTGCTCCTCAAGGAATATTAGTATTCAGTATTTAAGGACAATCGTTTCGACATAAAATATCTATCACCACAGCACTAACTATTGTCCGCTCTTACGACACCCATGAGACCATTGAACACAGACGATACCTGTTCTTTTTTCTGAGCACGAGACGAAATACAGTGATGGATTGATTCTTATACACCGCTATTACATGGCAATTCAGTATATGCCATTGTTATTATTAAGTACTAACATTTTTATTTCATTTTCTTGTCCTACACCGATAAACTATATTTCAATTTCAAGAACAGAAGCCGATAACGTAAAAAAAAATCTCCATCAATCACGAATCCAATAAAATAAAATAAACAAAGAATATTTCAAATGTTATCTCCGTAGAAACGAATTCTTTATTTATTTACGAGCGTCTAAAGAACATATGCAATCCATCGCCACCATTACAAACAAGCGCGCGAAAGCCGTTGCGTTCCATTTTACTGCAGTAGTGCTGTCAAGTTCTGGAATAAAAATGATATAAACAACTGGTGTTTTCGTTAAAAATCACTTCTTATCTGAGAATAACGTTAACGTTGAAAAGAAAAATCGATTTTAACCCAGTTGAACATTGGGGTTAATTTCACCGCCTTTCCTAATCCGATGTAATTCTAACTCCAGTACATTTAACACTTTTTTATTAATTAATAGAATCAGATGTTACTTTGCGGAAATCAATTATGTTAAAGATGTTAAGAATTAATAAACTAAGATCCGCATTAAAATAAAATAAAAATGGTGTTTTTTTACCAAGTTTGAAGATCACTTCCCGCCCTCCCTCAATTGCGTGCACTATCTCCGTCACCATTAATCTCAACACCACTACTCCCAGCATCACTACACTAGGAAAGACACTCCACCGTCGATAATACGACACGTGTTTCGAATATGCAATGACTGACCCATAACATAAGTAAAATACAATTAACGTATCTCATTTTTAACTAAATTATTAAATTATTTATTTACATATAAATAAAACAGTAATATATTTATTACCGTAATAAAAAATACTAAAAACTTTGTGGGAATGTAAAATAAGTTAATATACGCGATAAAATCCGTAAAATTAGTTTTATTTAAATGTGTAGTGTTCGCGTAAATATAAGAAAATATTATACTAAAAACTTTAATTATCACACAGTCATAGTTTCCGTAGTATAAGTGCCAGGAACGTTTGCTGCGTTTTCACGCTGATTTTTTTTTATAAACATTACCCCACACTTGGACTTTCTCTTGTATCGTGGAGGCAGTTTACAAATATAAATTGCACGAGCACAAACATCCAGACCCGGAACAATTAATTGCTTCCGAACCCGCGGACCCCAGCGCAACAACTCATTGCTAAGCCACTGCGCCACGAAGCCGTCAGCTAGCCTAGCTAATGTAATAGGGTATGATTGGCTATTACATACCCTATTACATTATATAACCCTTGAGTGAGAAAAGAACCAGCCCTCTTTTCACCAACGGCGACAACTAGACCCGAATACAGAGCCTTTAGGAACTTCAAATAGAATTTTTCAGGCGATCATCTATCATGATGAACTTAGACACTGTTACGAGCTTCTGGTTCGAGACAATTAAAAACTGCCGAGTTAATTACCAAAATTGACACTTTAATTACAAAAAACTAATTACAACTCATGGAAAATTCTAGAAGGATCTTGACTCTCCTAGTTCTGCCACTCGAAACTAGAGGGCGCTAGCGGTAACTAGTGTTGCCATGTACCAGGCATTAATGGTGGCGATCAACAATACCACAGGCCACGCAGAAAGATTTACGGAAAAAGTTTCCTACAATGAACTTAGCTAGAGGCATTCTTTAAAGTTTAAATTTAAAGTAAAGCCGACTTTAAAGAACTAAAACTAATATATTTTACGTGGTAGAGCCATTCTGCAGCTATATTAATAGTATAGATGTAGCACGAATGGGTCGGCTCGACCGGGGAAGGACCACGCTCTCACAGAATGCCATCGTAAAATAGCAGCTTAATCCTGCTGTGTTTCGTATGGTGAGTGTAGACAACTGGAGAACCTTTTTACTGGAAATGAGGCATTCCATCTTAGTCCTCACGGGTGACAACGCATCTGCATTTTGATTCGTAATTGAGGATGGATGTAGATGTCTATGGGCCACAGCAACCATCAGGTGGACTGTGTGCTTGTTTGTCACCCTAATTCTATAAAAAAAATATAATTTCCACATCAGCTTCAAAAGTCGGTGCTTAGATATAGTACGTAGTATCAAAGTCTTATTAAAACTTCATTCCTCATTTTTCCTAACTTTAAGGTAGAAATTTTTTCTCCAAATTTATGTAAAAAAAAGAATCATTTAAATCGATTCACAATTGACGAAGAACCTTAGATAGAAACGATTAATATGAAAGTAATTGACGTATGAATGTAGGATCGGATTTGAGACGTATCACTTGTTAGGTTTACTGCTTATATACCTAAAAATTGATATATCTTTTTAAATTGCTAACCGATTAACATGAAACAAACATCTAAATTGATTTAGTCATTGTGGAGATTAATGTGCACAAGCACACAGACAAGCAGACAAAAAATCTGTTTACGATTTCTTATGTGTATAGATTTTTGATTAAAGTATATATATAATGTTAAAGTTTCGTGAAATTTCCTAAAATTTCCTAAAATTTGTAGATGAGCGACGGCGCGGCGTTGATGTTTGCCGATGAATTAAAACTCACGTTCGAGCGGTACTTGTTCGGGATCTGCCCGCAGAGTTACAAGGTAATTATGAGAATCGCAGCTGTTCACTAATTCATTTATGGGTTCATTAAAACAAAACGGAAGATACAATAAAAAAGAATCAGTATGAGATACAGTATAAGTTATTTCGTAGATCATAGGTATTACATAGATGTTAGATACATAATTATATAATCGAGTTCAACCATGTTCTAATCTGTGGACATACGAAGTACGAGTACAATAGCCTTGAGATACAATCGCCAACTGTCAGCTGTGTGCTGGCTCAAGTTGCCGTCAAAGTTCCCCAAGGGCCGCAATGTGACACATCTACATATTGTGAAGCAGTGTACTGTGAAGGATAATTATACATTGTAACTTCAGGCTCAGAAGGGCTAGAACTCAGAGCCGTAAAGTCAGTTATAAAAAAAGAGTATAGTATTTTGAAAGAAAAACGCTACAGGTGCGTTGTCGCCTCTGTGGACTAACGTGGAATGTCTCAGAGCCTGTAATTATTATTCCGGCTTTCCATACCCTTTAAACCGGAACACGGAAGGGCACTCACTTCTATTCGGCGGCAGAAATTTAAAGTATGTTACGATTGCCCTAAGCGAAATGTTTAGTGGTTATATTGCCATCTACCGTTACCGTGACAGCCTATTAAAGTACACTGCTGAACATAATCGTCCTCCTTTTGCCTCATATGTGGATTTGATCGGCAAGCGGGTTGGCGACGGGAGTTTTTTATTTTTAGTCGTTATTAGGAAGACGCTGCTGCCTATCTCCTGATTTGTTTCCCTCTGTCGCCTCGTACGACACCCACGGTACGATACGGAATAGGGAATATTCTAACAACTCCATCCATCTGGAATTAATTTTTCTGTCTTTTCCAATAGATTCTCTTACGTGGTGCGGTGGTCCATACAATCAATGTTTATTCACATCACCGCGATGTAAGAACAAGTCGATGATTAAATCGCATAAATATTCTCAGTCTCGTTGGTCGCAGATGCCCATCAGCGGTAAGGGGAAGAACACTACAACCCTCACATGCGACCTGGATGCTGATCAGGAGGACTTAGCTGGCAGGTAAGACTAAAGAAGCAGCTTTATATATGTGGTAGAGATAAGTTGCAGTGAATTATGGCTACGGAAAGAATAGGTCAGCTTGATTCGAAAACGACTGTGCTCGCACCGTATACCAGCGTGAACATAACATAAAACTCTCACTCACTCTCAGAGTTTTATGTTATGTTATCACATAGGTAGCCTATGTGATAACATACGTTTTATGTTATCACTTAGGCTACGGACTACCATTTGTCCTAATATCACACTTTTCGCGTTTCTGTCATTCTTGTGCTTGCGCATATACACTCGTAGACTACAATCCTGTCCTGCCGTAACCGAGTTTTGGATTGGAGGACGTGATTATTATTTTTAAAACATTTATTTTTCTTGCGATATATGACTATAATAATAATAATTTTTATGCATTTATTTAATTAATGTAAATAATTTTTATGTATTTATTTTATTTTATTGATATTAATGTATGTTTATCATTTTCATTTACAATTATATATTTATACAGCCCAACCAGATTAGGAAACTATATAGATACCCCATATAGTAATAATGTCCTCCAGACCGAATTTTTGTCACGGCGGCCGGTCTCAACGGAGACTAGCCATTTGCGACGGATGGTAATATGGTGCCGGAGTGTATGCGCAAGCACAGGTGCACTTTCTATTACCTCACTCTCATAGTCCAACCGTCCACCAGAATCGATACAAGTATTAAAAATAATAGCAAGATGAAGTGCAATTAAATCTATTATGGACGCAATCACTGTAACGGAAATCTCCCACAAATCTGCGGTTTTCTTTACATCAATGGTTTTGAAGTATTTTACAATATAATGCGGTAATACTTTTTCAAATCTAAATTCTTTTAAACAGGTATTAACATTCTGTTTAAGTAATGACTCGGCGACAGTTGGAGAAGTATTCAATGACTCTGTTGTCAAGATAGGAAAATCAGTGAAATATTTCTCAAACACCGCTGAAACTTCTTGATTTGATTTAGTCAATTCATTATTAATTTTTAATTTATAGTTTGAGTTACGAGGTTTCTCTTTACCGGTTTCGCTGTTAATTATACTCCACGTCATTTTAATTTTATTCTTAGCCGTCTTAATTTTGTTACCAATATGTAATGATTTGGCTGTGGAGCAAACTCTTTTAAACATTTTAGAATAATTTTTTACATATTCTTTAAAAGCATCGGAAAGATTATACGATCTTTCATGGTAAAGGTCATATAACCAATGTACTTGTTGAACAGTTCTTTAATACTAAATTGCAAGTCCTACCTATGTATAAACACCAGCTTAGAAGTATATATAACCCTAAATTAATTATAGCTAAAACACAAAATATGTATGGAGATCATCAAAATAAGATTATTATTCCTAAATTAATTAATAAACTACCTAAAACCTTAAAGGAAGATATCAATCCTAAAAATATTAAAAACAAATTAAAAACGTACTTTATGAATCAACTAATATAATAACTAACATAATATAACTAAAACTAATACTATATACTATTTGTATACTATATACTATTATATATGTATACTAATTGTAATATAATTACTATATTTATATTTCAAAAATATAAAAATAATTTTTCCTCTGAACAACCTGTATACTACAACTCATCCTCACGTTATTGTTATAGAAGCGAGCGAACTACCTTCTTACTCTAAATAATATTAAAATGTTTACGCTCGAAAAACGGCGAACTGCAGTGTGCAGAAAAATCATATATAGGTTTATGTTGCACTGTACTTATGAACTGTGTATAATATGTATTTTTGTTGTTGTAAAAAAAAAAAAACCTTCGTCTGCTTTTATAAATTCCTACTGTCGCCCACTCATAAAATGCCTTGCGACTGTTTCTGGAGAATGTTTTAGAAGTGAATGCTTTATTAAATTCATTGCTTATAAGGGTAAATAATTCTCTATATAAATAGTCTGCATTGTTCTTATAAGAAAGGGATGGAAGGTTTTTTACCATATTACTTCTAAATCTCTCCAGGCGTTTTGCATTAATAGGAACAAACACAATTTTCTCAATTACCTGTTTTTTGTGCATATAAGGTAACGAAACCAGTTGTCCACAGTGATCTGAACTAAGTTTTTGAATTATTGATTTGTTGATTGGTACAACACCTGTAAAAATATTATCAATACAAGTTGCACTACACCCTGCAATACGTGTAGCTTCAAAGAATAAATTATTAAGATTATAGGATTTGAACAAAGAACAAAATTTAATACTGATGGAAGAAGTTTCCAGGAGATTGATATTAGTCTCCACACACTACAAGAGATTTATTCTGTTTATTAAGCTTAACTAAAACTTCTTCCATAATTTTTTCAAAAGTATCATAACTTGAATATGGGGGTCTGTAAACACTGACAACAATAAGGTGCTCAAGCTCAACACATGCCATTTCTACAGTACGCTCAACAGAGAGGCTCACAATGTCTTTACGTTCTTTACATGATAAGGACTTATTAGCTAATATTAAGGAGCCACCACGTAATTTAGTATCTCTATTGAACGAACTGACCACCTGGTGATTACTGAAATTAAATATGGAGTTGTAATCGAAATATTGGTTGAAAAACCAATGTTCAGTAATACATAAAATATGTATACTGTTACTATTTAAAAATAATTCAATTTCTAATTCTTTACCTAACATACCTTGTATATTTTGATGCACCAGGTTGATACAGTTTTTATTATTGTTATTTTGTGAAATTGCATAATTATGTATTGTTAAGTTGCATTCTAAGCTATTTAAATTATCTTTGCTAGAGATTACCTCTATTGTCTTATTATCTAATTTAAATTACTTGGAACTGGTTCCAAATCAAATGTAAAATTATTTTGTTACTCAAAAGAAGCTGGTGTCAAGGTAGCCAAATCATTGGCTGAGTGTTGATGGTTGATGGTTTTTGTTTATAATGTAAAGAATTTATTTTTCGATTTCTAGTACATTCATCATTCCTTCATTCAGTTATTACACAGGCTATAAAAAGACCGCTGCTCAAGATCGTCAAAGGCGTCACTTAGTTTTGACGTAAATAAGTCTTTTTTTTAGAGAATAAGGGTAACAAACGAGCACACAGTCCACCTGATGTTAAGTTGTTGCTGTGGCCCATAGACATCACATTTATCCTCGATTACGAATCAAAATGCAGATGTGTTGTCACCCGTGAGGACTAAGATAGAACGCCCCGTTTCCAGTAAAAAGGGTCTCCGGTACTCTATACTCACTATACGAAACACAGCAGCATTAAGCTGCTGTTTTACGCTGTTATTCTGTGAGAGCGTGGTCCTTCTCCGGTCGAGTCGACCCATTCGTGCTACAACTATACCAGTAATATGTATGGCTCTACCACGTAAAAATTCTTTAAATTTGCTTCCATAGTGTGACGTAATTCAGAAAATTGATGATAACAAAATCGGGAGATACAGTTTGGTGTTCCAGCTACATATCTATCATCTATATTAAAAATTTGTAGCAAAAGAATCAAAGAATTCGTTACATTGAGCGAGGACTGTGAGAACTGGAACACCGCCATTTTGTGGTCGTTTCGTTACGTACACTGGACATGTGTCATTCATTCATTTCTAGTGACCAAATAATTCAAGTATTGATTCGTCTTACGAACCGGGTCATTCGCTTCGATAATTAAAATATATCATTTCGAGATTCAGTACTCTGTAATCTGTGAGACCCACTCGATAATGTCGGGCATCAGATATTCCTATACTCTTTGGTTGTAGATTCTGTCAATCGTTTGATCCGGAACGTTCAAAATCATCAATGCTTTGATGTGACCGGTGTCAAATGAATGAATCATTTACGAATAACACATGTCTAACTTACAAGTATTCACAACACACGGCTGTGTCCACGACACAGCCACACTCCGATTATTAGATTATAGATTATAGACATAATTATTAAGCTATTTGTAAGAGTAATTTTTGCGGCAAATAAATACTTTTTACTTTACTTTAGTCTTAGCTAGTCACCACTCTTGGCAAGCGGGTTGGCAACCGCATTTTTTAAATTACTTATCAGGAATACGCTGCAGCCCATCTCCTGGTTTGTTTCCCTCTGTCGCCTCTTACAACAATCAGAACAATACGGGGTAGAGCATATTCTTCCACCACTACACCACTACACGGTGAATATATCATGTTGTTAATATTGCATCATTATAACAAAAATAAAGAAATTGTCTATGATTTCGACCAACAGACTGGCTACACTAGCGCTCCGTGTGCACTCTGCCTCTCGCTCAGATTGCTCGCGACTCGGTGTGGCGCTCACGAACTCGCTCGGCGAACTTGCGCGCACGGCTGCTAACAGGCAGGCTTTCACAGCCGGTATGTTTCTAATTTAATTGCCTCCATCATCTTGTACAGCCTATAAAAGACCACTGCTTAACATACACTTTTTCTATACAGGTTTATTTTTCTAGAATATCCAAATTTTATATTTATATAAGTTCAAATATATAAATAATCATATACCGTTAAAAAGGCTTCTACTTTTATTGGAAATTATCCCAAATAGAATGTGATTTATGGGCAACAACTACGCGTACGCGCGCTCCTCTGTGTGCGATTCAATTCACAACGTTTTTGCCGACCGAGCGACCCTTACGAATGTGTGCGTGCGTAGTAAAATAGTAGGCGTTAGATATTTATGAATGACAATTAGTTAACATAAAATATTTTGAATTTAATAGATAAAAAGGACAGAATGTGTGAGATTTTTTAAAATAATTTTTCTTCACCATTTGCCTATTTTACTTATTCTGAATCTTCTCTACATATATTGCAAAAAACTATGGGTAAATCCAATTGTGCATGCCTTATGCGCATGAAAAAATTACGTATAACATGATTATACGTAAATTTTTGAAGTAGTTTAAATACATACAAGTTTTCACTAAAAACCTTAGAATTATTACTATACTTCCAACTTTCCGATAATTTTATGTCAAATTTCAATTTAAAAAAACTTGGAAAATCCAAAAGTGCACGTGAAAAAATTAACAAAAATAGTAAATTGTAGTTCTATTCGTCAAAGAGTTCCAGTAGTATTCACCGAAGTCACTCCATTAACTCCAGAGGAAAGGTCTATTCATAACTAACAAAACAAGCCCAAACTCAGGACATATATTTCTCCTCGTCGAGCAGTTCCAGTAGCATTTATTGAAGTACCCTTTCAGGTAACTCTATCAAGTCCAAAGGTAAGGTCTCATTATAACTAACAAAAGGAGGCCTTTGTCTTTCTGACAATGTACTTTTAGCGAAACAAAATCTTGTAATAAAAATCTGTGATTATAAAATAATAACCTTGGTCAAGTGTGAATTTGGTTTTTGGAATATTTTGTATTCCTACAGTACTGCGATCGATATTTTTGTCTGCCTATTACCGCTGCTGTAAGCAAATGTCCACTTACGACGGCGCCCGTGGCCGGAACGGCGGGACCGGAACCGGAGTGCGAGTGAGGCAAAGTGTATTTAGTAAAATAAATTATTACAAGGCTGCTCAAAACACCGAAAATTTCGGCATTTCTCAGCCGAAAAATAATAATTATAACTAAACAAAACAAAATTAAACTGCCATTTACATTCCATGGTTTCCCACATGATAGATGAAGAGATTAAAAAATAAATTGAGTCCCACATGATAGATGAAGAGATTAAAAATAAATTGGTTATGTGTTTACAGAATTACGAGCATTATCATTAAAATCACCAATACAACCCTGTAAGTTCATATTAGCCCTTTGAATGAGTTTTTTTGGAAATAGCCATACAAAGGGCTAATATGAACTTACAGGGTTGTATAGGTGATTTTTATGATAATAATTCTGTAAACACATAATCGCTACGGTCGCGAATCATATTTTGTTAAATATACAACCTAACCCTGACCTGCAAATTCGAAAAAACGCAAGAAAATTTGAATTTCGCGGGCCACCATGGAGCTTCCACCTTGCATGCAATAACCCTGTATATTCAGTAGTGATTTCTCTTACACCGCGCCGCCACAAACCGGCTAGAATTAAGTATGAAGATAGCTCTCAGAGGTGACAACGAATCTGTAGTTTTCTTTGTTTGTTGTTAGTTGCAAGTGTTGCAGTTTGCGATTTTCAGATAAACTGTTAGCGCATTTGTCATTTACAAAATATTTTAATAATTAAACAACCACTTAGAATTTTTTTAACCAGTATTGTTTTTTTAGATTAATGATTATGATTACCTTATTTTAATGAAAGGTCTCGTCATAAGTATTTTCCGACGGTAAGTCAGTTCAGTTCGAATTGCCAAGTTTTTCATGTAAAAATATAATTGATGATTGAAAAAAAGACTAAGCCTGTTTCAAATAGAATAGAATAGAAAATAATGATTTTTAATAAATATATAGGTATTACTAGCTGTTCCCCGAGACTTCGCCCGCGTGGAGTTATAAGTAATAAGAGTATATATAGTAGTAATAGTAGTAGTAGTATGTATAAGAGTTCAAATTGACTTTTAAGTATTATTACGAATCTTTTGTATGGGAATATAGAAAAGTGTTGTTTTTAGACTTTTTCAGGCAATTTTTTAAATTTTTTCTCCGTAAGAGCCATCTTCGTCATCATTACAGCCCTTCACAAGTCCACTGCTGAACATAGGCCTCCCCCAAAGAATGCCACAAAGCACGGTCCTGAGTCACCTGCATCCATCGACTTCCTGCATGTCTTACCAGGTCGTCACTCCATCTCGTGGGGGGACGCCCTACACTTCGCCTACCGGTACGAGGCTGCCACTCGAGAACCTTTCTTTCCCATCGGTTGTCGGTTCTTCGAGCTATATGGCCGGCCCATTGCCACTTCAGCTTACTAATCCGTTGGGCTATGTCGGTTACTCTGGTTCTACTGCGGATATCCTCATTCCTAAGTTTATCACGCAGAGAAACTCCGAGCATAGCCCTCTCCATAGCTCGCTGAGCGACCTTGAGCTTCCTCATCCGGCCAGCAGTGAAGGACCACGTCTCAGTTCCGTATGTCATCACTGGCAACACGCACTGGGTGTACAGTCTCGTTTTCAAGGTTTGAGGTATACCTGACGAGAAGATGTGCCGTAATTTCCCGAACGCTGCCCAACCGAGTTGAATCCGTCGATTGACCTCTCGGTCGAAGTTGGACTTACCTAGTCGGACTATTTGTCCCAGGTAAACATACTCGTCAACAACTTCGAGCTTAGTGTTCCCTAACAACTACCGGCATAGGTGTGACATGGACATTAAACATGATCTTAGTTTTGTCCATGTTCATCTTAAGACCTATCCGTTGGGAAACACTATTGAGGTCATTGAGCATAGTGCTTAGGTCCTCCAGCGATTCTGCCATAAGGACTATATCGTCGGCAAATCGAAGGTGAGTGATGTACTCGCCATTGATGTTGATACCGTATCCTTTCCAGTCCAGAAGCTTGAAAACGTCTTCCAATGCAGCGGTGAAGAGTTTCGGGGATATGACGTCACCCTGTCTTACACCTTTCTGCAATTGGATAGGTTTCGTACTCTGGTTCTGTACTCGGATAGCCATCGTAGCCCTACTGTACAAACACTTCAGCACTTCGATATACCGACAGTCAACTTGGCACCGCTGAAGGGACTGCAGCACCGCCCAAATTTCGACGGAATCAAAGGCTTTCTCATAGTCCACATACGCCAGACATAGTGGCAAATTGTACTCTTCGGACTTCTGTACAATTTGCCGAAGGGTATGTATGTGGTCTATGGTGCTAAAGCCCTTTCGGAAACCGGCTTGTTCGGGAGGCTGGAAGTCGTCAAGTCTGCGCGCGAGACGATTCGTAATGACTCTCGAAAACAGCACGTAGACGCGGCTCAGAAGGGAAATCGGTCTGTAGTTCTTCAAGAGAGCGTTGTCGCCTTTCTTGAAGAACAAGACCACCGCACTTCTGCTCCACGCCTCCGGTGTAATGCCACCATGGAGGACGGAATTAAAGAGCTTCTGAAGGACTTCAAGTACCGGTTTTCCACCCGCTTTCAGAAGCTCCGCTGTAATTCCATCCTCGCCTGGGGCCTTGCCGTTTTTAAGGTGCTGGAGAGCCATTCTAATCTCGCTCAGACTGACGTCCGGGATATCTTCGGAATAGTGTCGGATGAGACTCGCTCTTGGATCGTTACTCACACTTGCGTGTGGCTCCAACGATGACGTGTACAACTGCCCATAGAACCTCTCAATCTCACTCAAAATCTCAGGTGTCCCGGAAACGATGCTGCCACATTCTGTCTTCAGCTTTGACAGTTGGCTCTTTCTGGCAGACAGGTCTCTGGCAAAGACTTTGGAGCCTTGGTTCCGCTCGATCGCTTCTTCAATACGAGCTGTATTGAAGTTGCGTAAGTCCCGCCGCATGCATTTGGAGATCTGTCTGTTCAGATGCCTGTATGCTGTCAAGTCTGTTGAAGAATGTAGCTTCATCTCCCGTCTAACAGCCATGAGATTAAGAGTGTGATCGGAGAGTTTTTGTGTTCTTCTGCGGCGGGTCTTGCAGAACTTAGCTCCGACCGCATGGACAGTTTCCACGAGCTTGTCATTCATATCGTCCACTTCATTGCAGTCTTCTAGGCACTGAAAACGGTTTTGTAACTCGAGCTGAAAGGTTTCGGGACTTTGGATTAGAGCACGAGGGGGACGGAGCGTTGACTTCATTAGACGAGACCTCTCCAACTTAACGTTTAGGTTCAGTGTGCCTCTAACCATTCGGTGATCGCTACCAGTTTTCACCCTCGCGATCACGGAGACATCACTGAACAGTTGTCGTTTGGTCGTCATAATGAAGTCAATCTCATTTTTTGTCGAACCGTCGGGGCTCTTCGTACTTCAAGGAATATTATAAAAAAGAATTAGCAAAATCGGTTCAGCTGCTCTCGAGATTTGTGCTTAGCAACACTTTCAGCGACTCATTTTTATATTATAGATAGATTACATAATACTTATCGAAAGTAATTTTTTTAATTTACTTCGGAAAATACCTCTGCCCTGGGAACTCCTGGCAACTCCACAAACTCAGTGGGATTTTCTTTTTTTAAACGTATTTCACTTTACAATACTATAGTTGGCAACCCTCGTCATTACATTTCACTGTCGATAAAAAAGTTCTATACTTATTGTTACAGCTGCAGCGAATGAAGCGATAAAGAAACGAAAGCTTTCAAAGAGCCAAAAGGCCAAGATCCAAGCAAAGCAACGGACAGCGCTGGCCGTAAAGAAGAAGGCAGCGGCCGCTGCAGCTGCAGCCGCCGCCAAGATGGTGTCTTGAACTAAAATGTAACGATATTATGTGAAAATTACTTTTTATTTTTTATTCTTAATTGTTGTTTGTACCTAATACTGAGTATTAAAATTATTAATTTTGCATAACATGTATAATTATGGTAGAAATATATTTTATTTAAGTTCACAAAAATTGACATGAGGCGGTAATTTGATAGCCTTGAAAGGTGAACTATGGAGGGTAGAAGTAAGCAAGACTATCTCTGTGTATGAAAAAGTGTCCGTCGAAATGCGTTAAATTAGGGTGGCTCAACAATAGCACCTGGATAAATTTTAGTCCAAAACCAAAGTCATATAAGGTTATATTTAAAGAAATATTTTTAGACTACGTGAATAGTTGAAGTTTTGTATACTGTACTGTACCAAATATATGATGTCACCAAATATATTAAATTTTTTAACTCGGCATACTTCAATCCATCTACAACTGATACATTCATACCATACCCTGTATCTATCTGTGTATCTCTATTCCATTCATTATATCTCTGTTCCATTCTGGAAGGTTTTTGAACTGTTATTTACTAGACACTTTCTCACCTTGGCTCCCATATGAGATGGTATTCCTTACCTCTACCCTCCATAAGGTGAACGCACATTTCTTAGCACCGTATACTCAGCACGCGCCGCAGTAGAATTCGTTATATGAAATCGTATGAAATCTCGCACATTTCACCCGCACCGTACGCGCAGTTTTTCATAAAATGCAGTAGATATCCGAATATTGAAGCAGACATGCTGATGACATCATATAATGCTGCGCGCACAGCCCGTCCTGAATTTTAGTATATAGTCTAATGTTGCCAACTGGACTTCCCACTAAAACTGAAGATTTCGACTTCCGTTCTAGTGGATAAATATTGCTTTTAGTGGCTGGTGTTTTTCTTAATGGTTCAGTAGAATTACGTTTCAATTAGTGACAAGAGTATTATTTACGTGGTAGAGTCATGCTGGAGCTATATTAGTAGTTGTAGCACGTTAATAGTTGTAGCACGAATGGGTCGGCTCGACCGGGGGAGGACCACGCTCTCACAGAATACCAGCGTAAAATAGCAGCTTAACGCTGCTGTTTCGTACGGTGAGTATAGAGAACCGGAGACCCTTTTTACTGGAAACGAAGCAATCTATCTTAGTACTCACGGGTGACAACGCATCTGCATTTTGGTTCGTAATCGAGGATAAATGTAGATGTCTACGGGCCGCAACAACCACTTACCATCAGGTGGACTCTGTGGTCGTTTGTCGCCATTATCCTATAAAAAAAGATGATTAAGCCATTTACACATTTCGAAATATATTATTCTTCGTTTCAGGAGTATTTACTTTCACGGTGTAGGCAACAACGATTCGTCAACGAGACATGCCAACTGCCTTTTGAAATGAATATTGTGAATCCAAAATTCTCTTTTTCTTCGAATTCTATTTTCTTTTTCCTCTGCCAATAAGCAGGCTTTTGCAACATTTTTTTTTCGATAGCTTAATCAATGTCACTGTACTGTTTCACTTGTGCACTGTCATCGTGTGCTGGGAAAATGGCTGATCACCGTTGGGACCAGCCGCTGTGAGCAAAATTCTGTATGGATGATTGTAGGGGACTGCAGTGGACTGTATGATTTTAAACTAACTAACTGTGTGTGACGACTGATTCTATGTAGGGTAAACTATACTAGGGACGGTTGAAGAAAAGATGGTACTGTAGACGATTATGTATTGCACTATTTACAAGCGGCAGATAATATATATATATACACAGAGGGGAATCTTCAATGGAGTATTAATTTGCTCTTCTCTCTTGATTTCTGACTTGAGGTTTTCTTTCTTCTCTCTTGCTGTTGTATCTTCGAGTACCGCTTCCAAAATGAACAGCTCACAGCCCAAAACGCTCTTCTTATATTTCCAAAAAGAGTGTCTCGGCACGTGAGTGGTATTATAAGATGTGCCGCGCGCTGATTGGTCGGCGGCATGACGTGATATTCTGGCGGTGTGCGGGGTGCGCGGGGCGTAACGGGGTATGAAGGGGCGTCGGGGCGGCGGCTCCCCTCACCGTCCGTAACAATGATAATATTACGGCTGCAACACAAATGGATCGGCTAAGAACTTCTTTTTAGTTTGTGATATCGGCTCGATCGGGGAATGGCCTCGCTTTCATAGAATACCCGTCTAAATTAGCAACATATCAATGATGTATATGGCGAGGAGTGACGGAAACTAAAATGGGAAGAAGTAAAAGGATAACGACGCATTTACGAGTATATGTGGTAGAATTAGAACCATACTATAGCTATATTATTTTTGTTGCTCGAGTAGATCAGCTCGACCGGAGAAGGACCACGCTCTCACAGAATACCAGCGTGAAACAGCAGAATAATGCTGCTGTATTTCGTGTGGTGAGTGTAGAGAACCGCAGACCCTTTTTATTGGAAACGAGGCTTTCATCTTAGTTCTCACGGGTGACAACACATCTGTATTTTGATTTTTAATTGAGGATGAATGTAGACGTATGTGGGCCACAGCATCCACTTACCATCGTATGGACTTTTACTTCCTTACCAATACTAAGGTTCTCTATTTATCTACACTCACCAAACGAAACAAATCAGTGTTGCGAAAGAGCGTGGTCGCTCTCCGGTCCTTCACGGTCCACCCATACAACTATAATATACTCGTAGCTGCAGCGTAGCTCTGCCATATTATACCCCTTTCATGGTACCGCGACATGATTGTGTAATTTTAAAAATAGATAATTATTATATAATGTTGTAATTAAAAAAAAATATTGTAATTTAATTAGCTAAGACCCACGTAATAAAATAAAATGATGTGTCTACCATAGTATAAAAAGCACCCCCACCCTTCTTACCACCTACTTAACGTACTCACGCGGTTCTTGACTATTACGAGTAGTTTAACATCTTTAATATAGATAATATAATTACGCAAAGTAATGCCTGATCCTATTCATTATCTTTAATTTTTTAAGTTAATGTATTATATAGAATACATAAAATTTTATAATTACTAATTATTAATAATTTAATGTGTATGTTATTAAAATAAATTATTTTTATAAAAAAAAAAACATAAATCAAATTCATTTGTCCGTTACAAATGTAACCTTTTATCCCTTTTGTTTTAGCGTGGTCCTTCCCCGGTCGAGCTGACCACGAACACGCTCTCACAAAATAACAGCGTAGAATATCAGCCCAAAGCTGCTGTGTTCCGTGCGGTGAGTGTAGAGACCCATTTTACTGGAAACAAGGCATTCCATGGTAGCCTTCAGGGGTGACAAAACATCTGCATTTTGATTCTCTACTGAGGATAAATGTAGATGTCTATGGGCCACAGCATCCATTTACAATCAGAAGGGCTGTGTGTTTGCTTATCATCCTTAATCTGCAAAAAAAACTAAAAAGATGACGTGTGACTGTTGCGTGTGTGTACCCAGTGGTGATAATGTAAGAAAATTTATCACCCCATTTTCTCCCGTGGGTGTAAGTAACATGGGGCTGTATGAGGAAACTCAAGGTCACCCAGCGAGCTATAGAGAGGGCTATGCTCGAGTTTCTCTACGTGATAGACTTAAAAATGAGGATATCCGCGGTAGAACCAGAGTAACTTACATACCCGAACGGATTAGCGAGCTGAAGTGGCAAAGGGCTGGCCATATAGCTCGAAGAAACGACGAGTCTCCTCCTAATAATAACGAAAAAAACTCCGGTTGACAATCCCCGTGTCTACTGTCACAACTATGACAAGAATAACAATAGCGAACTCCCAAACAAATTTTAATTGGAACTTTTCCTTGCGTCTACAAATGAAAAATATGTAAAAATATAGAGATTGAAATCTTAAACAAGTTTGTCTTCAGTCATAATACTGCAGGAATTCAAGAATTATAAATATTCCAGATTGAACAAAATTCGCATTATATTAGGCTGTATGGTATAAGACCCTTGCATGCCTTAATTGGCGAATTATTAGTAGAACATCTATTCTAATAATAATAAGTCTATGGTGATTCGTTACAACAACAACAATAAGGGTACATACTAGCAGGGAATCCTAAAATAAGAACAAAATTCTTTTAGTTCAACTCATTATGCTTATGATGTTATACGGGGTACAATTGTACAAAATAAAATAGCCATATTATTCTCACCTTTCTTTAACAGGGATGTTGCCATTTTCCCATTCCATAGACACCTCAATTGATGTGCTATTAGCGGAACAAAAAACCAAGTACCCTTTTGAAATACTTCAAAATACTTTGAAATTATCCCAAATTGAATATGATTTATGGGCAACAATGTTACCTATAGATCGGCCCTTATATTGTTATGTGTGCATGCGCAGTAAAATCTGTTAAAATAATTCATTACCGTGCATTTTGATTTTAAAATATAAAAAGGAAAATGTTTGGGATCATTTTTTATTTTATTTTCACCGTCTGCCTATATTATGTACTTATATTTTTTTTTAAAAACGTTACCCCCACACTAGGATTTTCTCCTGTATCGTGGAGGCAGTTTACAAACACAAATTGCACAAGGACAAACATCCAGACCCGGAACAATTATTTGTAGGCCATACAAATACTTGTTCCGTGCGGGATTCGAACCCGTGGCCCCCAGCGCAGCAACTCATTGCTAAGCGACTGCGCCACGAAGCCGTCAATATAATAAACATTTAGTTTAAGTAAACAGCCAACTGATAATTATTATTATATTATTAATTACTTTTTGTGACTTTTGTCGAATCATTATTTTAAATATATTATTGCATTGTATTATATTACATTTATATACATATATAAATATTTTAAATATCTATATTTATGTCGAATGATGATTCATTTCACTCTGCACATGACTCAGATGCGTTTTTCTCTTGTAATGATCTCACAAGGGATGACATGTAGTCCCTTCGTGAGAAATTAAATAGTGCTTTCTTGCCTTCTACTAAATTTTTTGTCGTTTGTCATATAAATGCACAATGTATTCCTAGCCATTTTTCAGATTTTGAAGTAGCCTTTTTACAAGAATGTATCCATGCTATTTTAATATCGGAGAGCTGGTTGAAACCGTCTATAAAGTCTAGTTCATATCCTTTAGGTAATTTTGTGCTAATTCGCAATGACAAGATTGAAAAAAGGGGTGGCGGTGTTGCCATATATCTGCGAGCCATAATTCCTTATAAGGTTGTCTTAGGTTCTCCTTCTACATATTCGGACTCCTCCAAGTATTTATTTCTTGAAATCGACATCAAGGGCATTAAGGCGATTCTAGGGGTAGTGTACTGTCCTCCTAATGTTGACTTCTTCACGGCTCTAGAAACAGCCTTCGATACCGTTGGGTCTGGATACATGCACTATATGATAATTGGAGACTTCAATACTGATTTACTGAGAAATAATCCTCGTGCTCATAAGTTTCATCATTGCTTCTTCAATAGATGACAAACTCTCCTTTCTGAACACCTTTATTCTGAATCTTTATAACGTCCATGCGCCAATTCATCAAGTAAGACTAAAGCGTCCTCCTGCCCCTTGGTTGACTAAGGGCGTACGAGTGGCAATGCTGAGACGAGATTGGGCATATCAGAAATACAAAAGAGTACGTACAGAAAAGAACTGGTCTAACTTTAAATTGCTGAGAAACAGATGCAATCAGATGGTGCGAATTGCTAAACACCGTTAAATTCATGATAATGTTACGAGCTTGGGGGTTCAAGACAATTAAAAACTGCCGATTGAATTACCAAAATTGACACTTTAATTACAGAACACTAATTATAATTTAAAACCACACTAATAATAAAACACAATTTAACAGTGGTAGAGCCACGCGGCAGCTTTTGCTGTCGCACGGATGGGCCGGCTCGAACCGGGGTGGTACCACGACCTCACAGAAAACCAGCGTGAAGTAGAGGTTTACCTCTGCGTTTCGCTTGGTGAGTGCAGGTGGCCGGAGGCCCTTTTTACTGGAAATGAGGCATTCCATCTTAGTCCTCACGGGTGACAACGCATCTACATATTGATTTTTAATAGAGGATAGATGTAGATGTCTATGGGCCACAGCAACCACTTACCATCAGGTGGACTGTGTGATCGTTTGTCACCCTTATCCTATAAAAAAAAAAAACAATTGTATTACTGATCACTTTAGTTCGAAGTAATATCATTTCGAAGTATTCGCTTATATCGCCAATTCATTACTGACTCGGTCGTGGTCTATACCGGCCTTATATAGGGCCTCAGATAGTTTCCAGAACCTTCTACTGTAGCGACATTTAGAATGTTCGAGTTCATATCGGTCCCGAAATTTCTAGAAGGATCTTGACTCTCCTAGTTTTGCTACTCGACACTAGAGGGCGCTGGTGGTAACTAGTGTTGCCATGTAATGTACAAGACATTAATAGTGGCGCGCAACACTGCCCCCTCCTAAGACATGCTCGTCCCGAGCATTATTGGCCCCATAATAACGCGCCAGTCGATCCACATGGACAATCTTAGGAGCACCTCTTCTAACATCAGTCAGCACCCGCCAGTTTCCCTGCTGCTGCTGGGCGGTGCTGTTAGCCACACTACCCTCTCGAGATCGATCACCTTCCCTTTCTACAGTTCGTTTAGGGCAGCTGGATCGAAGATGGCCCCTTTTCCTACAGCCGTAGCACCTAGAGCTATATCCTTTATTGCGGTCGCGAACTGTAGCCGCTGCAACCTTCCTGATGCGATAGGAACGATGATCATGCCGCACGGCTTTCACCTCCAGTGCATGGGCCAACGCGTCCTTAAGCGTCTCGTGGTGCCCGAGCCTCACAGCAGCTCTAACTTCAAGGTCGCGGATGCCGTCGATGAATGTCTGCACCAGATTCCGTACAATGACCGCAGGTACAGACTGGTATGTTTTTCGAACCAGCTTCTCCACCTCAAGGGCGCACTGCTGCAGGTTTTCATTGCTGCGTTGCACGCGATTTTTCGCGAGGTTCTATGGGCAGCTGTACACATCATCGTTGGAGCCACTATTCCGAAGATATCCCGGACGTCAGTCTGAGCGAGATTAGAATGGCTCTCCAGCACCTTAAATATGGCAAGGCCCCAGGCGAGGATGGAATTACAGCGGAGCTTCTGAAAGCGGGTGGAAAACCGGTACTTGAAGTCCTTCAGAAGCTCTTTAATTCCGTCCTTCATGGAGGCACTACAGCGGAGGCGTGGAGCAGAAGTGCGGTGGTTTTGTTCTTCAAGAAAGGTGACAATGCTCTCTTGAAGAACTACAGACCGATTTCCCTTCTGAGCCGCGTCTACGTGCTGTTTTCGAGAGTCATTACGAATCGTCTCGCGCGCAGACTTGACGACTTCCAGCCTCCCGAACAAGCCGGTTTCCGAAAAGGCTTTAGCACAATAGACTACATATATACCCTTCGGCAAATTGTACAGAAGTCTGAGGAGTACAATTTGCCACTATGTCTGGGGTAAGTGAACTATGAGAAAGCCTTTGATTCCGTCGAAATTTGGGCGGTGCTGCAGTCCCTTCAGCGGTGCCAAGTTGACTGTCGGTATATCGAAGTGCTAAAGTGCTTGTACAGTAGGGCTACGATGGCTATCCGAGTACAGAACCAGAGTACGAAATCTATCCAATTGCAGAGAGGTGTAAGACAGGGTGACGTGATATCCCCGAAACTCTTTACCGCTGCATTGGAAGACGTTTTCAAGCTTCTGGACTGGAAAGGATACGGTATTAACATCAATGGCGAGTACATCACTCACCTTCGATTTGCCGACAATATAGTCCTTATGGCAGAATCGCTGGAAGACCTAAGCACTATGCTCAGTGACCTCAATAGTGTTTCCCAACGGATAGGTCTTAAGTTGAACATGGACAAAACAAAGATCATGTTTAATGTCCATGTCACACCTTGCCGGTTGATGTTGGGGACACTAAGCTCAAAGTTGTTAACGAGTATGTTTACCTGGGACAAATAGTCCGACTAGGTAAGTCCAACTTCGACCGAGAGGTCAATCGCCGGATTCAACTCGGTTGGGCAGCGTTCGGGAAATTACGGCACATC